GAGACACAAAACACTCTTGCTTCAAAGCTTTGAGTGGTACAAAAACCCTTACAAACAAAACCTATTCCAAGTCACTTATCACAATGATAATTACTTGGATTACAGCAGTTAAAACTATACAGTTTCTGATTGATCTTCAGTCCAAAGAGATATTTTCCAAACAGCAGTCCTGTTGAATATATAACAGTTGTTTCTTCAGTTAGGGTTTCCACAAAAAGCTAGGGTTAATTAGGTTTAACCATAAGACTTGGTCACAAGACTTTATCAACCAGTTTAGGGTTGAGCTAGGTTAACCCAAAGACAACGGGAGATTCTGTTCTGGAAGGAATGAGCCAACTTCCTGAAAAATCTCAGAATTAACCAAACTGCACTACTGTTAGATCAGTACAGGATGTCTTAACATTTGTTATGACATCAGAATTCCTGTTTACTGATTTTGGCAATAAATGTGATCTTTTGCAAAATGCTCAGATACACACTCATACACAGTAGCACCTGTATGCCATTATTTTTCTGCAAAGGTACCTAATAAACCTGTACCTAATAAACCAGAATGTTATGACATCAGTCATGACATTCACACACCTGGTTTTACCAAAAATACATGCCAATAACTAAACACCTACAGTCATTATACGGTTTAAAACAAGCTCCTCGTTGTTGGTTTGCAAAGTTGGTTACGGCATTGAAGCGATATGGATTTGTTCAGTCCTATTCAGATTACTCACTCTTTACTTTGCATAAGGAAAAATACAAATCAATGTGCTGGTTTATGTAGATGACTTGATTATTGCAGGAAATGATATTGCAGCCCTGAAAATTTTTAAAACTTACTTAGGTACATGCTTTCATATGAAGGATTTGGGAGTCTTAAAACATTTTTTGGGGTTAGAGGTAGCTCGTGATCACGAGGGAATTTATCTATGCCAGCGAAAATATGCATTGGAAATAATTGAGGAAACATGTTTATTAGGGGCCAAGCCTGCGGAATTTCCCATGGAACAACACCATAAGCTAGCGTTGGCTTCTGGTAAGCCTATTGAAGATCCAGAACCATATCGAAGACTTATAGGGAGGTTGATTTATTTGTCTGTGACTAGACCAGATCTTGCGTATTTTGTACATATTTTGTCTCAGTTTATGCAACAACCATGTGAAGAGCATTGGGAGGCAGCCTTAAGGGTTGTTACATAATTGAAGAAACATTCGGGTCAAGGTATTCTACTCCGGTCTGATAGTGAATTGAACCTAGAGGGATGGTGCGACTCAGATTGGGCTAGTTGTCCACTTACGAGATGTTCTTTGACTGGATGGGTGGTGTTACTTGGTTTTTCTCCGGTGTCTTGGAAAACTAAGAAACAATCAACCGTCTCTCGTTCTTCTGCAGAGGCTGAGTATTGATCTATGGAGGTTACTACATGTGAGTTAAAATGGCTCAAACAATTACTTGGTGATTTGGGAGTTAGTCATTCCAAAGGGATGCGATTGTATTGTGATAGTCAATCAACATTACATATAACTCAAAATCTAGTGTTTCGTGAGCGTACGAAGCATATTGAAGCTGATTGTCACTTTGTTCGTGATGCGGTGATGGCTGGAACTATTTGTCCTCTGTATGTTTCCACATTGGTACAATTAGCAGACATTTTTATAAAAGCCATGGGAAAAGTGCAATTTGAGTTCCTTCTTCGAAAGTTGGGCATTCGAGATCTTCATGCTCCAACTTGAGGGGGGGTATTGAGATTTATTGCATATTTTACTCTATCTTCCACTGGTGGAGGTTATTGTTATTATTACACATTTATGTGTTGTTATTGGTTGTTGATGTTACCTTATATTCAGGAGTCTTTTATGATTGAAATTCTTAAGATTAGTAGATTTTGTAACAGATTGTAAAGAAGTAGTCTTGTAATGTGTATATATAGTGATCCTAAAGTATGAATAGACAAAATTGATATATTACATTTGTGGTGAATTTTACTGGAAGATAGAGAAAAATATGCAATAAATCTCAATAAATCTCAATACCCCCCCCCCCCCCCCCTCAAGTTGGAGCGTGAAGATCTCGAATGCCCAACTTGCGAAGAAGGAACTCAAATTGCACTTTTCCCATGGCTTTTGTAAAAATGTCTGCTAATTGTACCGATGTGGGAACATACAGAGGACAAATAGTTCCATCCATCACCGCATCACGAACAAAGTGACAATCAGCTTCAATATGCTCCGTACGCTCATGAAACACTGGATTTTGAGCTATATGTAATGTTGATTGACTATCACAATACAATTGCATCCCTTTGGAATAACTAACTCCCAAATCACCAAGTAATTGTTTGAGCCATTTTAACTCACATGTAGTAACCGCCATAGATCGATACTCAGCCTCTGCAGAAGAACGAGAGACGGTTGGTTGTTTCTTAGTTTTCCAAGACACCGGAGAAAAACCAAGTAACACCACCCATCCAGTCAAAGAACGACTCGTAAGTGGACAACTAGCCCAATCTGAGTCGCACCATCCCTCTAGGTTCAATTCACTATCAGACCGAAGTAGAATACCTTGACCCGGATGTTTCTTCAAATATCTAACAACCCTTAAGGCTGCCTCCCAATGCTCTTCACATGGTTGTTGCATAAACTGAGACAAAATATGTACAAAATACGCAAGATCTGGTCTAGTCACAGACAAATAAATCAACCGCCCTATAAGTCTTCGATATGGTTCTGGATCTTCAATAGGCTTACCAGAAGCCAACGCTAGCTTATGGTGTTGTTCCATTGGAAAATCCACAGGCTTGGCCCCTAATAAACTTGTTTCCTCAATTATTTCCAACGCATATTTTCGCTGGCATAGATAAATTCCCTCGTGATTACGAGCTACCTCTAACCCCAAAAAATATTTTAAGACTCCCAGATCCTTCATATGAAAGCATGTAACTAAGTAAGTTTTAAAAATTTCCAGAGCTGCAATATCATTTCCTGCAATAATCAAGTCATCCACATAAACCAGCACATTGATTTGTATTTTTCCCTTATGCAAAGTAAAGAGTGAGTAATCTGAATAGGACTGAACAAATCCATATCGCTTCAATGCCGTGACCAACTTTGCAAACCAACAACGAGGAGCTTGTTTTAAATCGTATAATGACTTTTTCAACCTGCAAACCAGATTTGGATCAGTGTTTTTAAAACCTGGATGGACTTTCATATACACCTCCTCTTCCAAGTCACCATGGAGAAAGGCGTTGTGCACGTCCATTTGATGAACTTCCCACTTTTTAATTGCTGCCACTGCCAAGAAGGTACGAACAGTGACCATTTTTGCCACTGGGGCAAATGTCTCATCATAGTTTATCCCCTCTATTTGATGGTGTCCGAATACCACAAGTCTTGCTTTTAATCGTTCTATGCTCCCATCTGAGTGATGTTTTATTTTGTATACCCATTTGCTGCCAAGAGCTTTCTTCCCGGGCGACAGTTTCTCCATAACACATGTCTCATTGTCTTCCAAGGCTTGTATCTCATTGCGCATTGCATCACGCCAACCAGAATCCTTTACGGCTTCTTTAAAATTCTTAGGTTCTTTCCCTGCCGTCACAGCTGCAACAAAATTTCTATGTCTAATAGAAAATCTTTCACAAGATACAAAGTAAGTAATAGGGTAAGGAGTACCTGAGGCATGTTCTTGGGTAGATGAACTTTTCGAGGACTTTACTTTTTGTATTGTATTAGTGACAAAATCCTTGAGTCTTATATTCAGAACTTTGTTTCTCATCCCCCTTCCCATCTCAACTGCCACCTCATTCTCTTCGAATCTCGCATCATCCTCTTGCATCACCACAACACCAGCCTCATCAACTTCATGTGTGGGTGCTTCCTCGCTATTTATACCACTGACACAAGCTCCCTCACCGGCTGCTATAGCAGCTCCACTACCACCTTCGCACAAGACCATTGATGCACCCCCTTCTCCAATTGATGCATCATAAGTCTCCCAACCAATATCATCGTCAACATACTCAATGTCAGAAATAATAGGAGGAGCAGAATGAGTTGTGTCTAGTTGAACAGCAAATGGAAATTCATGTTCATAAAATTTCACATCTCTAGAGACAATGTATTCTTTGGTTTCTAAATCATACAATTTCCATCCCTTTTCCCCATAGGGATAGCCCACAAATATGCACTTTTGACTTCTACTCGCAAACTTATCCCCATCACATCGTTGATTGTGGACCTAACATAAGCAACCAAAAATCTTCATGTTATCTAATTTAGGGACTTTACCAAATAATTTTTCATAAGGTGTCTTATAATCCAGTACCCTAGACGGTGTTCGATTAATTAAGTAACATGCTGCCAATACACATTCACCCCAAAATTGTATTGGTAAATGACCCTGAAATCTAAGTGCCTGTGCCACATTCATAATATGTTGATGTTTTCTTTCAACTCTCCCATTTTGTTGCGGAGTACCCACACACGATGTCTCAAACACAATTCCATGATTAAAAAAATAATCACGTAGACAATTAAATTCGGTGCCATTGTCGCTACGCACTTTCTTTATCTTTTTATCAAATTGTCTATCAACAAGTGCCACAAAATTCAAAAACATAGTCTCAATCTCTGTTTTATTGCATAACAAGTAGACCCAAACAACACGCGAATAATCATCAACAATTGTCAAGTAATATTGTGCCCCACACGGCGAACGAGTTCGATAAGATCCCCATAAGTCACAATGAACTAATTCAAACAAACTTGCTGCATTATTCTCACTTAATGGAAAACTATCCCTATGCTGCTTGGCACGAGGACAAACGTCACAAGGTCTATTATTCTTGCTCCTACTAAACTGTCTTACATGAGGAATGGACCTTAACACATTTTCTGATGGATGACCCAAACGTTTATGCCATAAATCCATTGTTGAATCCCCTTCCACCATCAAGGCATGCACCTTCGGAACACCCTGAAAAAAGTAAAGTCCATCGATCCGTTCACCCACTCCAATCAACGTCCTCGTCGTCCGGGCCTGTATTACACACAATGTATTAGTAATTTGAACGATACAATCGGAGTCATCGATTAATTGAGTTACAGAAATTAAGTTGCAATTTAATTGAGGCACAAAAAGAACGTTATTGAGCCGCAATCCACTATCTAAAATCACACTTCCCTCTTTTATAGCCGCAACATCTTTCCCATCCGGCAATCCCACCGGTGTATTTCTAATATTTTTTACATTAATCATACAAGAGAAATTTCCTGTCACATGGTGTGAAGCTCCCGTGTCAATAATCCAAGAGATGTTATTCTTACCATGGAGGCGATCTTTAGTTTTGGAAATATTCAAAGCATCGAGAATTTGTTGCCATTGTGTCGGGGTAATTCCTGATATACCTGCTGCCTCACTTGAGTGTGGTGGTGCATGAGACTGTCCACCATTACCACCGCTGCTACAGCTACTTGTTGTGACTTTGTTGGCGTGCACAGGTGCGTTATAGGTGCCTCTGCCACGCCCTCTAGAACGCCCTGATGTGTCTCTGCCACAACCCGGTCCACGACCACCACGAGGACGGTCCCCCCACCACTCGGGGAATCCATGAAGCTGAAAACATGAGCGCTCGTCGTGTCCTTCTCTATTGCAGTGAGGACAAAATTTTTCAGAATTGTCCACAAGTTTAGATTTACCTCGCGTAGCAGCTGTAGCTTTAAAAGCCATGACATTGTCACGGTTCTGATGAATTGAAGATTCTCCTTGCAGCAACCTCTCGTCTTGAATGACTCGCTGATATGCTTGATCAATATTTGGCAATGGATCTTGAGAAAGCAAATTTGAGCGAATCGTCACATAAACCCCATCAAGGCCCATAAGAAAATGATGCAGATAATCTTCAACACTCAAATTAATCACTTGTTGGTTGATGTCACAGGTACAACCTTCACATTTGCAAGTTGGCTTTTTGACATAAGTCATAAGTTCATCCCATACACGAGACAGACGACCGAAGTAGGCCGACACCTCTTCACCTTTGCCTTGCTTGCATTCTCCTAGTGATGCCTTTAATTGGCATATACAAGTACCATTCACAACACAAAATCGTTGCTTGAGATGTGTCCACAAGAATTGTGAATCATCATAATAAGAAAGAGTAGAGCGCAATGATGGCTCGATCATGTTCAGCAGCCACGCAATGAGCATCGACTGCATTGCAGTCCAGTCTTCCAATTTCTCAGGTGTTGTTGGTTTTGGGACTTTCCCTTCCACAAAACTGTATTTTCGCTTTTCTTGCAACGAGGTTCGAATTGCCCTTGCTCATTCATCATAATTCGGCCCACGCAATTGTATTGGTGTGATCACGTTGCCGGGATTGTCATTGGTGCCGAGAAAAAACACCAAATCCACCTTCTTCTCCTTATTACCACTGTTATCAGCCATAATCTCTTATGGTGCTTGATTTGGAAGAAGAAAAAAAATGTATTTAATTTTAGGATATTCCGTAACTCATGATACCATGTAAAATTCACCACAAATATAATATATCAATTATGTCTATTCATACTTTAGGATCACTATATATACGCATTACAAGACTAACTGTTTACAATCTATTACAAAATCTACTAATCTTAAGAATTTCTCCTGAATATAAAGTAACAACAACAACCAATAACAACACATAAATGTGTAATAATAACAATAACCTCCACCAATAGAAGATAGAGCAAAATATGCAATAAATCTCAATAAATCTACTATTAAACCATGTCTCGTACAACAAATATGAAATATTACATACCTGATCCGATGTCGTGAAGTTGCTACTGAGATGGATTCGTGGCGGGAGATGAGGGGATTTTTGATGGTCGCGATTTGTGCATCGTCGAACATGATGGTGGTGCGCTCAGCTGGCCGTCGGTGTTCATTTGTGTGGTCGTGACCGGATAAGTTGATGACGTTGGGAGGTGGACTATGGCTTTCGGCCTTACGATGCTGGTCGCCGCGTGTGGATATGTGGTGACGTCGTTGGCTTGACGAAGAGATGAGGTAGCGGTACTGTTCACGGTGTCGGGGGCTTCGATTTTGATCGTGGCGGCGTATGCGTGCGACATGGAGAAGCAGGTCGGAGATTTTGCGTCTGCGGTCAGAATTTGATTCTTCGTTCCTCTTTTCTGCACAAAAAAAAAACAAAAAAAAACAACAAAAGCAACAAAAAAACTATACATGTTATGTTATGAGTTTCAATTTGTGTTGTTTGTTGAATGGTTTTGTCATGTTGAGGCATAGTAACTGTGTCGTGAGTTTTGGTGATTGTTGTTTAATTGATCCGATAAACAATTTGCAGTTTCTTGTTGACTCAAAAACTATGTATTGTATAAATGTAATGGAATATGTACACGGTTTCTACGAGGCTTTTGTAATGTATCAATGGCGTGAGAAATTTTGATGTTTAGAAAAGGTTTCTCAAATGTGAACAGTGTTAGCGTGATAAAATATGTATAGAAAATGACTGAAACATTGTTGGCCAAAACAAAACCTTTTTCCCAAAAAAGTTTTTTTTTTGTTTTTAATAAGAAAAATGGTAGAAATTGTTAGTTATTATGATATACAATTTTTTTAAAACAATAAAACCATCATTAATCATCATTTAGTTTAAAACCATCAAATAAAATTAAAACAAATGATAAAATTAAAAAAGTATAATGATGGCCTTATATTTAATCATTGATCAATAAAAATACCAACAAAAAAAAAAATTGTAAACAATAAGTGTGTGTAAAATTGGAGATTCGTGGATGATTGTTCTTAGGTTGACGTCTGATAAACCAAAAAAAGCAAGTTTAAAAGAATTGTAAGAGTTTAAAAGAAAAATAGCAAGTTTTTTTTGTGAATTTGTTTCAGTGTTTCTTTTCAGAAACCCTGAAATAAACTAAGAGAAGGATTGAGATTGTGAAATTTTTGATGATGAATCATGATGGACAATAGTCCTATTTATAGACTTAGAATTAGGTTTAAAAATTTGGAAATTAAGTTGCCCAAAACACTGAAAAACCCAAAGTCTGATCTCTAAAAAAGAAAAGAAAGTTAGTAAAAATAGAAATAGAAAATATTAAAAGTGCAACACAAGAGTTTCGAACCCACGACCACATGCTTGCAAGCTTCATTCTTTATCAAATGTGATATGTTACTTATTTGAAATAAAAACCCAATTGAAAGTATACGAAAGCGAACAAGTATTTGCTGCAAATAATTTGAAATAAACTATTATACATTTTAAATGAGCGAAATAAATTATTGTTAAAATGTTAGTAAAATTGAACCAAAAGATATTATAAAAACCAATGTTGAAAATATTTTTGACTGTAGAAATCAAGGGCGGACAAATTTAGGGTATGACACATCAACTTTATATTTTTGATAGATTAGGTTAGAAAACAACACTAGAGCTTTGCTTATGGATGATTGGAGGTAGATTTTTCATCAACCGGCACTGACAAACTAGAAGATTTGTGGTTTATCTCTTCTCCTCTCTATATATTTCTCTTTTGTTGGGTATTGTATGTATATTTACTTTGAACTCATGTATATGTGTCGTCCATGGTGTTATATAAAACTTACTTTACAAATCTTTGTCGATTGTTGTCCTGGATTTTGTTATGTGCTCGAAATTTGGGTTATTATAGATATATAATGCTTGAATTCTTATCTAGGATGATAGTATGTTAGTTTTTGGATTTTATAGATAGATTTAGAGCTGACATTCACTTGGGTGTTTATGATTAATGCCTCTATGTGGGTTGTGTTGCTCTGAGAGATCGTCGATGCAATTAGCACGGTTGACTTTTGTGTTGTTAAGGTGGTTTAGAGATCGCTACCGAGGTGATACAGTCGGCCTCTTAATTTGGGTTAGAAATGACATAGGTTGTGAGTGATACGTGGTGACATTGACGAGTATTGCAGGTTGAGTATAACTGGACGATAGGTTTAAGTTTGTGAAGAGTAGTGTACATTCGTACCTGATAAGTTTGTCTTTCCTTTTCCTTTTTATACATTTAATTTTTGTTGATAACTTTTACCCTTCCCATTCAAACCCTAAACTCATTAACAGGATATTATCGAACGGAAATTCAATACACCAATCTCAGTGGACACAATACGATATAACCTAAATATCACCCGGTAAATTAATAACTTACTTTTTGGTTACCGCTATACCGTTGCAACAATTGTCAAAGCTTTTGCCCAATATAATTTAAAAAGCTTTTCCCCTATAGCCACAACCAAGTTACCTTTGTTTAGTTTCCACTTTCTAGAACCAAAGTGATTGTCATAACCATAATCATTAAGCATATGCACGTAGATCAAGTTAAAGTGGACATCTAGAGCATGTTTGACACCTCTAAGCAACAATTACATTTCTATGTTTGTTTGCAAGCAAGCATCACCAACACCAATTACCTTAGATACACCATCATTAACCATTTTTAACACTCCAAAGTCATCAGAAGTATAAAATGTGAAGAAATTCTTCCTTGGTGTAACATGCAATGTAGCACTACTGTACACTACCCACTTGCTCTTGTCTGATACAAGATTAATAGACTCGTGATCACGTAGAATAACAAGATCATTACAAATAGCAGTAGTAACACGATTATCATCATGATCATCATGATCTCTTTGTTTAGACTTGCCTTTCTTTCCTTTGTTATCCCTTTTCCACTGATAACAATATTTTTGTACATGTCATGTTTTATGACAATAATAACACTCCAGATTCTTGTATCGTGGTTTGGATTTGCTTATGTTATTCTCTCTACCACCATTCGGTTCCTTTTTCTGACTTTTCCCTCTATTTTCAGTGACAAGTACCTCGGGTTGAGATGAAGAACCTAGTGCCTTCCTTCTCATCTCCTTATTAAGAATACCACCCTTATCTGTTTTCAAAGAAACAACACCTCTAGGAGCAGAACTTGTAATAGAAATCTGAAATGTCTCCAAAGACTCTGATAAAGATAGTAATAGAAAATAGTCCCAAAATTTTATCATCAAATTTAATACCCATTCCAGACATATGATCAATGAGCCCTTGAAATTCACTCAATTGATCTGAAATAGAAGTCTCTTCCTTATACTTCAAACTTATGAAGCTATTCAACAAGAACAATTTATTATTCCCTGATTTAGAGGCATATAAGGACTTTATCTTCTCCCACAAAGTTTTTGTACGTGTCTCAGTAACAATATGATTATAAATATTATCTTCTACATATTATCGAATAAAACCACATACATGTTGATGTTTAAGCTTACATTCTTCATCAGACACATAATTCAGCTTTGCGTAACTAAAAAAAGGTAAACGCAATTTCTTCACAAATAATAAGTCTTTCATCTTGCCCTTCCATAAATGGCAATTAGAACCATTCAACAATATCATCTTCATATTTGTATTTGACTCCTTCATTCGAACAAGTAAAATAGACCTTAACCAAGAGCTCAGATGCCACTCTGATGGGAAATTAAGAAAAAATAATAGAATAATACACAACGGATATATAATTCCTCTCACTTGTAGGAACCTTGAGGATCAACAACAAATTTAGGACAGCAAATCGAACAAATAAAGGCACAAAAGAACACTGATATTTTTAACATGGAAAACTCCTCAATATGAGAGTAAAAACCACGAGTCATTCAGACCAAAGAAGTAGATTCATTATAATCAATTGAGGTTACAAGAGATTATTAAAGTGATCTACAAAATAATGATAACAACCGTAAATCACAAAGCAAACTAACTTACAAATAAGAACCCAAAAAGCTGAAAATTACCCAAATTTGTAGCTTCAGTGCGAAGCAATTATCTCTCAGCCCAGACATCGTTTTAAATATCCCAACTGTAAAAAATTATATATACGTGTTATGAACCTACCCTCCAAATTTGAGCTTGATCTGATGGCTAACGAATCTGAGATTGTCGATTTAGTGAGACTGGTACAGGAAAAACAAGAATGAGTTTCTCTCTTTTTTTTTCTCTTTTGAATCCTTATTTTCTCTCTCTCTTTCTCTCAACCCTAAATTGACACTCTCCACTTAAATAAGTGAGACAAATGAGCTATTCATATTTGGGTCTTTCTCCACATAGGATTGGAGTCCAAGTTCAACCCTCACTAGTGATAATTTTGGTTCTTTGTGTCGCGCAATGAATGTTTCATTGATAGCACAATCTTCATTTCTAAAATGGAATGCTCTAGTTAAAGAGATCAAGGGTGTGCTTGTTTCAAGGTTGTAAAAAATATTTCCAAGAGTATGGTCATAGGAATGCAACATTCTCATGTTTGATTCAATTTTTTAAAAAGTATTCCAAGGCATTTTATTCTCAGGAATTATATTTATATGTGGTTCTTCTATTTTTATTTCGAGGTTTAAAAGAGGGAAATCTAACATTCTCATGGGAATAAATTTCAACTTACTATAACTCCCCACTACTCACATTTATTTGCTTATTTTATTTTTTTATAATTTTTAAACTAAATAAATATTATAAACATCCCTAAAAAATTTAGTTTTTACCAAACACTTAAATAAGAATATTATTTCAAGTAATAACAATGATGGGAATAAGACTCTAAAGAATATTATTTCTTAACTTGAAACAAATACACCATAAGATTTGTAGTTTTTTTCTTGACAAAAGAAAACTTCAGGTAGTTTTAGAAGCACATTATTATAATGACTTTAAGGTTTTGCTACTAATACTAATGAGAATCGCGTATTTAGATTGCCTAATAAGTGTTTTCAAGTGGAAGGCATTTCTAATTTTAGATTTTATCTAAAATTAAGTTAGCTAAACCTAAATTATAAAATAGTATTATTGTTGAAAGTGTAATTCTTTATGTCGAAGCAGTGAATTCGATAGAATGTGTATTAGCTATATTTTACACAAGATCAAATACAACAAGTAGTTGTCGAAATACATATAATAGTCCAGTCATGCATAGTTGTCGAAAGAGCTAGCCTCGACAGATTAAACTTAGCATATTTTATATGTTTTAGCTGTGTTAGTTAGTTAGTTAGAGATTGCTTGGTGTGCAAGCAATCTCAGTTATAAATAGGAAGATACCATATTATTGTAAAGTATGAAGAAAAGTTGAATAAAGTTCAGTTTAAAGATAGAGAGAAACTTTGCAAAATCTTCTTCTTCTTTCCCTTTTCTCTCAAACCCTAATTTCTCTTTTATTCCCCAATTCATCTTTTCTTTCTTCTTAAAAGTTTTGTGCAACGTGAATCATCTTGCAATCAAGGTGTGGTTGATTCACTCGAGTGAAGAGTGAAGAACAAAAGGTGTAATCAATCTGAAAGATTCATCATTGTTCATCGAGATTGATTCGAATTATCCTCAAGATTGGGATTTATTTTGAACATCTGGTATCATTCGACTGGTGGATACAAACTATTTGATCCAGTGAACAAGCAAGTTGTGATCAACAGGGACGTGATCATAGATGAACTTAAGGAATGAGATTGAATTGAAATTGTCAAGAAGAATTCAGTGAGAATCATATGTGAAGAACCAATAAGTGAAGTCAATAGAGAAATTCGACAAGAAAAAATCAATGGTCAAGCAGGAACAACCAGACCTCAAAGAACAAGAAACATGCCTGCAAGGTTGCAGGAATATGTGATTACATCAGATGATGTGGTCGATGATAAAGGTGAACTTGTTCACTATGATTTCTATGTAGATGTCGAGCCAGTCAATGTAACTGAGGAATTGAAGGACTTGAAGTGGATCCAAGCGATGAATGAGGAACTGAAGTCTTTCGTAGTTAACAATACTTGGTCAGTAGTCTAATTACCATAAGGTAAGAAGGCAATCGATGTGAAATGGGTATACAAGGTGAAGCTGAATCACAAAGGAGAAGTAACTCGACACAAAGCAAGACTTGTGGCGAACGGATTTCTTCATAAAGAAAGAATCGACTTTGATGAAGTCTTTGCACCAATTGTTAGGATCGAAATAATCAGGTTGATTGTTGGTCTAGCAAACATGAACAACTGATACATGTGTCAGATGAATGTGAAATGTGCATTCTTGAATGATCCCTTAGATGAATATGTTTATGTCGGACAACCGGTTGGATTTGTGAAACAAGGCCAAGAAAGCAAGGTATACAAGTTGCATAAAGCCTTGTATAGACTCAAACAAGCTCCAAGAGCTTGGAATAAGAAGATAGAAAGCTTCCTAAGAGAGAAGGAATTTGTAAAGTAAACAACTGAGCATAGAGTATACGTAAGGAGAAGAAGGAGTGAACTGTTTATATTATGTCTCTATGTCGATGACTTGTTGATAACAGATAGTTGCAAGAAAGAGATCGAAGACTTCAAATGTGATCTTAGCAAGGAGTTTGAAATGTGTGATATGGGCAATATTTCATACTTCCTTGATATCAAATTCTACAAGAGTGGTAGATGCATGATGATGCATCAAAGAAGATATGCAAGTGCAATACTCAAAAGATTTGAGATGGAAGACTGTGATGCAACTTCGACACCTACCGAAACAAGACTGCAACTGTCAAAAGACCTAGACAAAGATGATGTCGACCTAACACATCACATAAGACTTATTGGATCATTAAGATACATTTTCCACACAAGTCATGAATTAGCATACATTGTAGGTATGGTGAGTAGATTCATGCAGAAGACAAAGTTATCTCATCTCACATCAACGAAAAGGATAATAAGGTATCTCAAAGGAACTCTCGACTATGGAATTTTATTTCTTGCAACTGATGAAAGAAAAGAACGCAAACTAGTGGATTACACCGACTCGAGTTGGTGTAGGAATAGAAAATCTACAGTTGATTATGTATTTATGCTAGGTTGTGCACCAATTTCTTGGAGCTCGAGAAAAGACCCAGTAGTAGCACCATCGTAGTGTGAAACAAAGGACATAGTTATTTCTCTCTGTGCATGCCAAGCAACATGGATGATGAATTTGATTAAAGAAATTACAGGGAATAATCATAGAGCTATTACCATGAAAATCGACAGCATGTCTGCTATTAATTTGGCGAAGAATTCGATATCACATTGAAAATGCAAACACGTTGAGATGAGATTTCATTACCTCCGAGAGAAATTAGCAAATGAGATGTTGAACTTAAAATACTACAGAACTGAGAATCAGATTACAAACATCATGACGAAAGGGTATGCAGGTCGAACTATTCAAGAAATTGAGAACTATGGTGATGTAGATAGCTTAGACACAATGAATTAGGTGGTGTGTTGTAAGTGTAATACTTTGTGTCGAAGCACCAAATTCGACTGAGTTTGTATTAGTTGTATTCGACAGAAGATCGAGTATAACAAGTAATAATCGAAATACATGTAGTAATCGAGTCATGTATAACCGTCGAAGAAGGTAGCATCGATAGATTTAAATTTAGCATATTTTGTACTACATTTGTTTCTTTATATAAGAGACAATTTATTTTTTAGGTTCATTGAATAACCAATGTATTTGATTAGTTTATAGACTAGATACATTGATTATTCAATGAACTTAAAAATGAGTTGTCTCTTATAAAAAGGAACAGAGGTAGTATGTTTTAACTGAATTAGTTAGTTAGTTAGTTAGTTAGAGATTGCTCGATGTGCAAGCAAACTCAGCAGGGATGTACCATATCATTGTAAAGTGTGATGAAAATTTGAATAAAGTTCAGTTTGAAGGGAGAGAATTTTTGCAGAATCTTCTTCTTCTTCCCCTTTTCTCTCAAACCCTAATTTCTCTTTTCTTCCCCAATTCATCTTTTATTTCTTCTTAAAAGTTTTGTGCAGTGTGAATCATCTTACAACCAAGGTGAATCATCTTACAACCAAGATGTGGTTGATTCACTCGTGTGAAGAGTAAAGAACCAGAGGCGTAATCAATCAAAAAGATTAATCATTGTTCATCGAGATTAATTTGAATTATCCTCAATAGAGGTTTAATTCCAACAACTAAGGCCTATTTAAAATTCATTCTTGTTAGGATTCAAAATTTTACTCAACATAAATAAAAGGTTGAAAGCCTACATTTAGTGGGTCTTAGGTATAAAAGTGTTTACAAGTGGGAGTGTCTCTTAGTCATCTCTTTCACTTTATTAAATTTTTCCTTACAAGTTAAATTTGTAAGGTTAAGTAATAAACTAAGCAAGGTCGAAGAGATTTTTGGCTACGTTTTGCTCTAACTTGGTTTCTAGCATTGTTATTATCGAATGGGGATGCAGACTCTTTAGCCCAGCATGTGTAGTTGTTCTTCTGGTGGGGTTTAGCCCCTTCAATCAACCATAAAAAGGAACAGAAGCTGTGAGAAACAAACCAAGCCCTTCTAAATCTAATGATGAATTTACAAATGCAAGCTGTCTCCCCATGCATAATATTGACAACTGGGGAAAGCAAAAGAGATGGAGAAAATACACAGATCAAAACTCCTAAAACTAACATGTTAAAAACACTCCCAGAGAAAAATGACCATTTAGTCTCTTTCTCTCAGTTTGAAAAAAAGAAGAGAAAAACCCCTTGCGAAATCCTATGTAAAATCATTAAAAGAAATAAACTTATTGGCTCTGAGAGTCAAATGCTGACAGGAGTCTATTAACGAAGGGTGATATAGCTGCAAGCAAAGCCTTTGGACATTCTTCATGAGGTAAATGACCACATCCAGATATTGCAACTAGTCTCTGCATGTGAAATGGTTAAGAGAAACATTAGAAACTTTATGTAGCAAAACATCATATAACAAGAGCGGGTGAAATGCTTTGGAAATTCAAAAAGAAGAGTAGAAAACTGTATAAATGTAACCGGGGAAGTATTTAGATGAGAAAGGGTCCTCTCAAGCAGAAAAATTAGATGTCAAATGGTTTAGAGAAGCATTTGAAACTTTATGAGGCAAAATCAAATGACAAGGGTATGAAATGAAGGAAGACATAAGAGTGAAATGAGGGGGATATGACCAGACAGATAGAGAGAAACTGGAGAGGGAGTTGTTGGAGAGGATTTGGGTCTGTATTTAGAGAAATAGTATAAGTCCAATAATACTCCCGATTTCCTCATCCATTTTCGTACTTTCAGAATTACAAGTTTAGTGTAGAAGTTATGAATATATGTGGTGAAAAGAAGTATACTTACAGAATTTTCAAGTTTTGAGGCCATAGCTTGACAAGATTTCAAAGAGACGAGAGAATCTTCAGCTCCTGCAATAACTAACACCGGAATGTCTTCTACAGCTTGTAGCAATGATTCTGCATTTTTTGCTGAAAGGATGGTTTCAGATGACAATTTACCAATCTCATGAACAGCTTCATCCCATCCTTCAACAGATAGTGGAGCCTTACCACATAAAAGAACAGCCACATATGACACTAGTCAATAAATATGACATTCCATAAATTATGTAAAAAAGTGCATGGTTTGAACAAGAAAAATGATTTTAAAACTGACTGTATCTATTAACGACCCCTAACTATCTAGGAAAAGCAGAAAGTCATGGATGTTGTTAGTCACTATGAAATTGTGATTACTCATTATTCAGCCTACATCTCTAGGTTAGGGTGTTAGGCTATGATTTACCATGACTGTCAAAATTAACATTTTCTGCTGAGTTCATTACATACAGTCTATCATCTACTGTTCACATATTGAAACTTGCAAAGGACAGTGCAGTTCCTAATTAAACCATGTACCTATAACTAAGTTCAAAAACAAACATACCTTATAGAGATCCAAAACTTCTGAAGTCAATTTGGTAGCATCATACCAAGCACGCCGATTCACCACTTGAGTGATTTCCATCCTTAGTAGAGGACGAACCATATGCTTCTTCCCAAGTGAGGTATGCAAGAGGATTCTTGCAAAGGAAGGAACCACTTCCCTTGACAAGCTAACATTTAGCAACACAACCCCTTTGATAGTTACCTAAATTGAGCACAAAAAAAGCATGTCAGAAAAAACTAAATCAAATATGACAAATGCACATCAATCGCATGACAAAGTTCAATTAAAACTTGCATTATAGGGATTCACTTGTGTGTGTGATTACAGTCATCCACATCATAAAAAGGAAAAATAAAAAGTGTAGAGCTACAAAATCAAACTGTTAGGAATTAAAAAAAACATAGAACGGCAAAACTACACTATGATGTGACTGAATTTGCAAGCCGGTATGGTAATTAGGCTTATCAAATACACAAGTTGCCTGCTTAACAAATAACAAGGAAGAAGAAATACTCACGTTACGATAATTCATTGATGTTTGAACTCTTTGTGCAGCCATAAGAGCAAGCAATCCTCCATCATCGTGACCAATTAATACCACTGACGAAAATCCAATCTCAGAACAGAATGATAAAAGCAAATCAATCTGAACAAATAAATAAATATATGTCAGATATTTGATTTGGATAAAATTTAGGTAGAAAAAAAAAGTAAAAAAACATTATATGAAAGTTAGAAGAATGATAGAAATACACTCTTCCCATCAGACTCTATCTTTAGATGAAAATCATGTGGATCCCACTGAATATGACAGTGGGACATTCAGTGAAATCCATGCAAAATCCACTTAAAACAAAGTATCAAATTATTGTGTCGCTAGCTGTTTTCTAAAAAGATATGGCATTGAATAAGAACGCCAAAAAGAAAAGGAAAAACAGAAAAGAGGTTCCAGATTGAAATTTGAAAGCCATTACTTGACACTCTAGTAAAAAGGACAACATGATCTTAACCCAACACATCTTGCACCCATGATAAATTATAATCACCTGAGTTTCAAGTTTATAAGGATTAGGCAAATCCTTTTCTTCCCAGTCCTCCCGACGCGGTCTTGAACTTAATCCCCAACCAGGGCGATCGAATGCAGCAACAGTGCAATTAATCTCACGAGCTAGAGACCCCATAACATGCCTCCAAGAGAAAACTCCTCCACCAAACCCATGTATTAAAACAACACCTAATTGGCTAATACTTTGCCCCGGAGATAAAGAATCCAATTTACTAGTTTCCTCTTCACAAATACCATCTAGATGAAAAATAGGAATATCTTCAGAAAAAACTGAAGTTGTAGTACTAACTAATAGAGGGGCGTATAGAGATGATCCCTTGAGATTATTGCTATAGCTCCTGTGTAGATGTGGCTCTATCTTCGGAGACATATCTAGGCAACGTCTATCCAATTTCTCCAACCCTCCAGCCATTGATGAAGTGCAGTAACTAGAATTCGGTTCAACGCATGATGCTGATGACAAAGTATGTGGAGGTGAACCAGGCAAGCTGAGCCTGTAATGAAGAGGAAGTCCTTGACAAGTAACAAAAAAGCTGTCTGAGTCTGCAAGTAATCTGGCCTGTAATTCTTCGTCACGAGCATTCCCAAAAGGTCTCCGCCTCATTTCACTGTCACTTTTTGGAGTTCTGCCCCCAGAAGGAGTAGGAGAACGTGGGACCTTCGGATAGCCGCAGAAAGCACTTTTGCATGATAAGGCCTGTTAGTAAAGCATAAATGCATCAAAAAAATAACTAAATAAAGCAAGAATAAACTTATGCGGTTTTTAACTCATATGAGCCACCAACAAAAAGTCATGGCGATTTCAGAAATTTTCTTTAAACTAGCTTGTAGTATTACAACGGCTTATATATTGAAAACAAGTTAAACTAAGGAAGCAACATACAAACCAGCCTGAGAAATTACGGAAACTGAGTATAACAATTCCAAACTTACAGATTCAGCGTCAACGCGATGAAACAAGAGCTTTCTCCGAGCTCTACAGCTGGTTCTATAAGCAACAACAGTATGGCCAAGAGCAAACACAACAGACGAAAGAAACAAAACAGGCATTCCCCATGACCTCTTCAAATGAAGTCTCTGCCTTTTTAAAGAAGCTACTGAAGCTTCAGCTTGTATCTGTGAATTTACAGTGAAAACACAAGCTTTGACTGAAAGGAGAACAATTGAGGAAAAAGAACACAGAGTCACAGTTCCAAGGTAAGGACCGTGTGAAAGAGCAGGTCCATCACAAATAGAATAAACACCTGCCATTAACAGAAATAGAAGAAAACAAAAACCCAACATCAAAATTAAAAATAACCACATCGATTCCCACTATTAATTCTTTCTACACATTCTATCCATGGAATTCATTCAACGTGATTACCAGTTACTGACAAAGTTTAGAAAACAGTGTGCAACCGTGAAAACGCTGTGACAAAACGAAATTGCCCGGTTATCACCGTTTTTATATTAACTCACACTGCGACGACACTAATCAGTGTCGCGGCACCGACGGAAATTGAAAAATAAACAAGAATCTAAAACTGAAACAACTGAACAAGTGAGATTAAAAGTCAGAACACGAACACATGAGAGAGAGCATACATATAATGATGAAGGATCGTATGAGTGAAACGAGAGGAATATCCGTCAACGAACTCTTGAAAGAGTAACGTCGAAAAAGCTCCTTGAAACCGTAGCAATTAACACAAGTAAAATTCGAGATCAGAACGCACGGAACAAGAACATCCACCACCGCAACAACCACCGGAAGCGACGTAACAACCAGCGACACCACCAATACAAAAACAAAGAAAACCGTCCGGATACACCTCCAAAGCTTCTCGAACAAGCATTGTCCTCCCTTCGCCATAACCGCCCTAACAACCTAACTGACGGACGGGTAGTTACGATCGCTTCAACAGAATGCTTAATTGTTTACCATCCGATAACCGACCGAAACCGCTTCCGATACCGGAGTAAGATTCTCGGACGGCGGTATACTTGACATTCCCGGTTACCGGAAGCGGAGATCAGTTAGGGTTCCGGTGGGAACAAAAGCCGTTTGTTTTGATATTGAACGCTTCGTTCCCTTCTCCTTCTCTTCTGTTTTTGTATTTGTTGGTGGCACTCTCTTTTATTTTATTTTTTTCTGAAATCTAATTTAATTTTTAAATTTGGGTTTTCAACTTTTCATGGTTACGTTAATTATCTAAGTTTTAAATGTGAAATATTAATGTTGAGTAGTGTGGAAAACTAAATGAGGATGGTTGAGTTTGGTGGTTAAGGAAGAGTCACTTGCAAGAAGTGGAACTGTTGGCAGACAGGAAATCTATTTTAATACTTTAATTAGAATTTATAATCGGATACTCTTTTGGATATCTCACTTGTATATTTATTACTCTCTTTGTTTTATATTATAAATAATTTTTTTTTATTTATTAAATAATTAATATATATTTACATATTATAAATCATATATATTAATTATTTAATAAATCTTTAAAATTATTTAATAAATCTTAAAAATAAAATTTGCTTTTTTTATAATATAGGAAGGAGGAGTACTACATTATTACTATTATGAAAATATAACTAAATTAGTTTTTCAAATTCTTGTGTTGATTAAAAATTAGCCTTTCATGTTGTAATGTTATGGGTTTTGTAAAGTTTAATTATTATACTTTTAGTATAACTTTTTATGGTTGTTTTTCCCACTCTAAGATTCTAGTAAAAAAAATCAAAAATATTTTGAGAATTTAAAAATATACTTTTGAACGCATTTCAATTCATTAGTAAGTGAAATAATTTTTAATTTATTAATAAATGTTAATACGAAGATGTATTGCCGTATATTTTAGAGAAATGTATTTCTAAAAACGACAAAATCAAAAATAGATGTAAAAACAAAGATAAATTAACATCAATTATTTGTTATAATATACATTAAAAATGAAAAAAATTATATAAATAATCGTTAACGTAAATTAAATAATATATTTCATTTTTAAATATTACATTTCGACATCTTTAAAATATCTTTTGATCAATTTCACCATCTTCACGTCAAACTCAATATTTATGTGAGTAGTTTCTTTCATAAACATGAGACATTTGATGAGCATATAATATCATGTCTTGTGTCCTACTATCATAAACAAGAGATTTTTGAAAAGTGGTATTAGAGTTCAATTTGAAGAAGGGCAGAGTTTCAGAGTTTTCAATAAAAATATATTGTTTGTATATGAAGGAGGGCGGAGTTTCAGAGTTTTCAATAGAAATTTATTGGTTCTCATCTATGTATTATGATTCTTTCTATCACTAAAATTTGATATAGAAGTTATCTCTTGCAGTAAATTTAAATTTTCTTTTTAATTTGATGAGTTTATCATAACTATCTTTCAATTAAATTTATCCTATTAATATTTTTCCTATATGTATTAAATGTATCAGGAATGTTGATATTATTGCCTATTACTTACTACTTTATGTATGATATATATATATATATATATATATATATATATATATATATATATATGTGTGTGTGTGAAAATATAGTGTGAAATATAGCATAAGTATGTCATATTTAATTAAATAGACTTTTAAAAAATATAAATTTGACTTTTTTTTATCAAATAGGTCTGATCTGACGTAACCTTAAATATGTTAGACTATAGACTCCTGTAGAATAATCTGTCTTATTCCTATCTCTATGTGTAGGTATGACATTCTCTATATCCCTATAAGTTTTCTAGAAGTTGATAGTGTGAAATTTTCACTCTATACAAAATATGATTACCGAGGTATGTAACATATCTCCTTTGAGTATATAGAACATATGATGTACAGGAAATAAACATGTTTTAAATGAACACAGTAAGAGGAAATTTTTATAGTTGTTTCAATTTTTGCAGCATTACAAATCACAACAAAGATTTGTTAACTCAAATTTCTCTCTCTCTCTTTCTCCAACATACTAGAAAATTACGTTGGCAATATGGTGATGACAATGATACTTGAGTTATAAGATGATAATGCATTTACGAATCTAAGACAAACAGGTTACACTAACTAGTGCATGACTTTATTGACTGATGATAATACATTTAGTTTATTGGCTAAATTAGCTATCATGATAATGTGGACTTGTCAAATATTTTACATGCAAATATTCAAATTCTGTTGATAATAATATGTTATGTTGGAACACATTCTTCATTCTTAGTGATTTAGCTAATGGCAAATGAAACGCCAAAACTATATCTGAATTGGGCCTGTACTTGCCTCACAGTTGGGAGGCTCAATCCAACACCCTTGCATAAGGCCTAAAGGCAAGCAACCAAAGTTAGAGACTCTTGGACAACTCTCCACGCATCTGTTGAGGAACGTGGCCCACGTGTCCGTATCACTGTCATCATAACTGCCCTCCAGAAATCACGGGTCCAACACCTATTCTCACGGGGCAGTTGACCATGGAGGAGTCCACTTGCTGGACTCCATACACACGTAAGTCATGGCAGTCTTCATTGTTGGACCTCATCGTAGCCCAATATTGGGGACTTTGACCCAGCACTGGGGGGCTATAGATACCCTCTTAGTTGAGAGGGTCAAGTATTCATTTTCGTACTCATACTCACACTTGTTTGCACTCTCCTTGAAACTTACTTTGATATCGGAATATCTTGCAGGTAATCTTCATCTCGCTTTCAACTTCAACTCAACGTAAAAGTTTGGCGATCCATTCTGACAAGTACGATCATTACGTTAATTTAAAGTTATTTTGTTAAATATTTAAACATCTCTGTCAAACATATTATAAGAAAAAAATCTCTTTAAAAAAAATTTATTTAAAATTCTTAAAAATTATCTCTAGATACTCGTTAACATGACTCTTATATTAATATTGTGTGATGATATATAAATAGTTATTTGTATATCTCTTCGGCGTTTTTAAAATAATATTTTATGAATGTTTTTTATTAGCAAGTTTTTTTTTTTTCATGAAAAGGAAGGCAAATAAATCACTTGAAAATAAATTTATTTTATATTGAAACAAACACAAGTATGAAGTGCACGATCTTCTTGAGCCAAACAACGGTCCAAATACAATTGTTAGAAAACTAACTAACACGCACCCACGCATGCCAATTGGCATTTTTTTATCGACAAGTAAAATACCAAAAGTCCAATACTTGGTTATAATTTTCACAATATCATTTTTTTAGATGACTTGTATGCATTTTAGATATTGTGATATGTCATACAATACATGTGATTCCAAAAACTTCGTTTTCTTTCTTTGTTTTTCAGCTGCTTAAATTGACTTGATTAGATTGAGATTTTGTTATGGTGGTGAAATTTCAAACTATAACAAATGAATTTGAGAAGTACTAGTAATTTTTAAATAGGAAACATAAACGGTTGTGATGCATAAATTATTAGGTGTCGTTAGGCCCACCACTAATATGACTCTGCCACCAAGTTAAGTCACTATCACCAACAAGGTCCCACTCAGACACACCCTGTGATGTTCTGTTCTGTTCTTTAATCTCATCCTCTGTTTGGTAGTTACTTTCTTGCCATCTACTATCAAGAAATTTATTCTTTCTTTTTGTTTTTTTTTCCTCTCATAATTTTTTCTTTAAAAAAATGGAGAAGAAAAAAGAAGATTTTTTCATATGTAAAATTAGGACTTTATCTCATTTGATATAGGGGATAAATTATAGACAAATATTATATGTGAATTTCTTTTTAAAATTTTTATTAATTGAATAATTGAAGTAAATATAAATTAATCGTACAATAATAAATTAGAGTACTTAATACTAAATATTAATTAATATATTAAATAATATTTAATAAATAAAAAAAGAAAATAATATAATTAAAAATTATTTAGGCAAAATTTTATTTAAATTGAGAGTGTTATATTTTATTTTAATATATTAAGGATACTTTTCGTTTTAATCCAACTCAAACTCTATCGTTGAGGAAGAAATCATCAATTGACTTGTTTAGAAGCTTCACATATCCCTTTTAGTATTTAATATTCTTCTGAATGTTGCTAAAAATTAATAATATTTTATAAAATTAGTTTTAATCTAAAAAAAAAATTCAGTACTTTTTAAATGATTATTGAAAAAAATCCAAATTTTATTACCAATTAATATATATATATATATATATATATATATATATATATATATATATATATATATATATATATATATATATATATATATATATATATATATATATATATATATATATATATATATATATATATATATATATATATATATAATTGGTAATAAAATTTGGATTTTTTTCAATAATCATTTAAAAAGTACTGAATTTTTTTTTTAGATTAAAACTAATTTTATAAAATATTATTAATTTTTAGCAACATTCAGAAGAATATTAAATACTAAAAGGGATATGTGAAGCTTCTAAACAAGTCAATTGATATATATATATATATATATATATATATATATATATATATATATATATATATATATATATATATATATATATATATATATATATATATATATATATATATATATATATATATATATTGATCGTATCAGACCAGAATGGATCGTCAATGCCTACGAACTGTAAGTTGAGCAGTAACTGGAGATGAGTTGGGGAATACTTGCAAGACACTCTGATGCTAAAGTAAGATTCAAGAAGAATGCTAACAAGTATGAGAGTGTGAGTATGAAAGAATGAATACCTGACTCTCTCAAGAGAGGGGGTATTTATAGCCTCTAGCGCTGGGGCAAGGTTTTCAATGTTGGGCCACGATGAGGCCCAACAATGAAGACTGCCAGAGCTTACGTGTGTATGGTCTAGCACGTGGAC